ACTACTAGTACTACTACTACTACTAGTACTACTACTAGTACTACTACTAGTAGTACTACTAGTAGTACTACTAGTAGTACTAGTAGTGTTACACCATCACTTACCTTAGCTCCAAGAAACGGTTCTTGTTAGGGTTACTAGGTTAGGGTACACTACTCCTAGCAATTGTGTATATTGACATTAGTTACGCAGCCTGGTTGTGTTACATCATCACTGAGTCAGTGACAGTGACTGAGTGAGTCACTGACACTGACACTACCACTGACACTGTGACAGTGAGTCAGTGTGTCTATCACTGTCACTGTGTCAGTGTCAGCAACATCGAACACGGAACAGAACACTAGCGCTGAGAGGGTCTATCACTCCAGGGGTCGAAATTAGATTTTTATTATGGTATCCATTCTGGATACCAGGTATTGAAATCTGATAGGCCTATCCCCCCCCCCCAAAGATCTGGTATCCCATTTGTTGGATAGTAATTTTAACAATTGTTTGCCTTCGAAACTCATTGCTTGCATTCATTTTACATACACCTCCACAGTACACTGCAGACGTATTGTCTAGACGCATTATCTGGTTCGCTTGATACAATGTATACACATCACATTTACGCTGGCGCTTGCAAATATGCTATGCTTGGCTGCTGTATAACGCTAGAGTGGCCTGCCCCTGCTCAGATCGTGCGCACTCGCTCAGATGCGCTGCCGTATAAAGTTGATAACTCAACCACTATCCCGATTTTGACGATTTTTTATTTTACTATCCCGGCGGGATACCAAGCATTGAAATCTGGTATCCAACACAAGAATCTACTATCCCGCGGATATCGGGATATCGCTAATTTCGACCCCTGCATGCTATGCCCCCCAGGGTACTGCCGGAACGTACCCTGGTACTATCTAATATGCTGGACCGTACCTCGCCTACTCCACTAACGAGTCTAGGGAGTCGCCTACCCTAACCCTAACCATATCAGATAGTTACCAGGGTACATTCCGGCAGTACCCTGGGGGACATAGACCCTATGAGCAACACTAGCACTGGCACTGGCTATGCTGATCTAAAAGTTCTACTTTTATTACTACTAGTATAAGTTTTAGTTATAGTTTGTATACGTTTGCAGAATGTTGGTACCATAGTTACGGTAGTAGAGTAAGAACTAAGTTGGTAACTTTTACGCACGCTGTCAGCCTGTGTCATTGTATATAATTTGTAAGATATCTATTCAATGACGTACTGAATATTGTAGGCCTATCATGATTCATTGTCAATGGCTGTCAATGACATTCGATTGACTTAGCAATTGACGATATTCAATTGATATGGCTGTCAATGACATTCATTGACATTGTCTGGCAATTGTACAGTGTACTACTACTAACTAGTATAAGTAGCATAGATCGGCTGTTGATAGACTTGACATTCAATTGATTTGGCTGTCAATGACATTCATTGACAGGGTTCGACACTAACCCACGTCCGACCGACCTAGTCGGGTAAATGCTTGGTCCGGTCGCATACAAACTACAAAGAGTGCTAGTAGCCCGACTGGTCGTGTTAGAATTGGTTATATATATTGCACTGAAAGGTCACCTCTAGCTAGACTGGTTCACGGCCGCACTGTTTGTCGCAGAGCGTGTACATTGTCTAGCAGAGCGTGTACATTGTCTAGCAGAGCGTGAGGCCGGATACCAGTCTACCCTTCGGCAAAAACAATAACGTGGCTTGCTGCCAGCCGCAGTAGACGATCGATAAACCGTGCGCTGGTGTATGCCCGTGGTAGAATACGAATGCTGCACGTGAACTCGGCCCACGCGCGATTTAAAGCGCGAGAAACAGCATCTATGAATTCATAGGATGACACACTCGATCTTATCTAAATAAAGTTTTTCATAACAATGGTCTGGGTCTGGGCTAGTGAAAGTTAGGTCAGGGCTAGTGGTTTTCCTCAGTTACTAGCCCGATGGTCTAGTGAAAGTTAGGTCAGGGCTAGTGGTTTTCCTCAGTTACTAGCCCGATGGTCTAGTGAAATAAAAAGTTAATGTTGAACCCTGATTGACATGGTCTGGCAGCTTGTACAGTGTACTACCGGTACTACTAACTAGTATAGGGCTGTAGCCCGTGTAGGCTATCCTTAAACTGGCACAGTCTGGAACTTTTTGTGCTCTCAGGCAGTGTCAGTCTTGCATTTACAGGTGCTACAGGTTTGTGTAAGCTCAATCAGGCCGCACTCAAAAAAATTCATGGTCCAGTTAAAACTCGGTTATCAGAACGAAACGGGCGGGGGGTATTTTGTTCGGATAACTGATGACAGTGTTTAAAATACACGACCGGTTCAGCTCCAGGTCAGCGTGTGAACCTAGTAGGCCTATGGCAACTAGTGAACCTATAGGCAACCGCTTACAGTTACAGGCAAATTACGTCAGCAACTGTACCGACTGTATCCAGGCAACGTTACGTCAAACGCGCGCCACCTATCTAGCTTTCTACAGCGCTACACAAAGGAACAGTGAACAATCAAATGTCTTTTCTTGAATTATGAATAACACGAATAGATTGAAATATTTAAATAAATTATCTCAAAATAAACCTTCATTTCGGTGCAATATTGAAATCAGCTTGAATTCTCCATAACCTCTGAATTGTGTGTGACCCAACGGGTCATGGGTGGACTAGGGGCTTATTAAATATTCATGGGACCTTGAGATCTTGTTCGGATAATCCAAAATTCTGATAATTGATGTTCGGATAACCGAGGTTGGACTGTAATATGTACTAAAGCATGCGTAACCCCACCAATCTCTGGTAAGCAGTTTTATGGGCCAACTGATAGTTCTCGAGAGTAACATAAATATACCAGGTCCTCTACCTTTATAGTAGTAAGAATGCCGTACGTACAGTATTACAAATTTCCTTTCCTCTGATTGCTTTTTATTTGTCGTTTTAGCTAGGCTATTGTGCACATAAATACTACTACATACCAATTTTACTTTCAACATTCTGAAAATACAACACCCATAGGATTGGTCTCATTTGAACTAATAATTGATTCTAAGTTTGGCAGTTACAACATGTCCTAGTACGTACGCATTTGAGAAGTTGAAATACATGGTTTACTGGAAATTTCCATTTTATTGTTGAGTGGTGTTCTTAGTTCATATTAGTGAATTTGTTAAGATTAGTTCATAAGTTATGTTAATTTTACACAATATACTTGCTTCAGATGTCTGCGACTGCGAGTCCAGCCAGGCTGCTCCCTGATATTGAGGAATTAGAAAAGGAACTGAAAGGGGATTATTATGATCAAAATTTCACCGCTGACATCAGCGATAGAATGCAGGTAGGAAACTTGTAAATTGAAATATGCAATAAATTTAGTACAAAACATAGCACAATATTATTTATTTAACTTAATAAGGTTGCCTTGAAAAATTCTTAAATTATTTTCTAAAGGTTAATGAAATTTGTTTTGTTCAAAGGTTCCCCACAGGATTAGTCTAGGAGGTGGTTCTGAACCAAACAACCGCAGATATTATAATGATGATGCTGTAAAAATGTCCGCAAACATGAGTGTACCAGATAGGATAATAGTAACAGGTAACATTCCCTTTAAATATTGGAAATATAACACTTATTGCAAAAATATCCACACTAAAATAGACATAGTATTAATAGTTTCAAATATCTAGAAATATATTTGAATCTTATATGTTTCATTAGGAAGCTTTACAGTTCTGACAGTATGTCACCAAATGGTAATCGATAAACTGACTTTTGCTTACAGGCCAAGAGCAGCATTTAGGTATGAAGGAGGCTCCACGTGATCTAAACCTCGAGATGCTACCAGAGGTAGACAACATTGCTCTAACAACGCCACCAAGAGTTCTCAATATAAATGATTATAATTTCCCCATCATGGATGAGTCCAAGAAGGAAGATGACAAGCCAAAGCCTGCAAACGTTCCTTCTCACAACAATAGGTACGTTGTTACATCCGCGATTTGATACACGATCAGGCTTGTTGCTTGAAGCCATAAATAGCATACCATCCTAGTTCTGCAGTTCGAGTTCACCATCTGTGTGATCACTTGATCAGTGTGTGCACTGACAAAGCTTTGCTCAACATGGCAATGTGCTGTCAGCTAATTATTACAGACACCCCTTAGAAACAATGCCAATCACTAATGGGTGGGGTTCTGGCCCAAACTATGAGTACATTAAGAACACGTAAATGGCCAAATCATGTCATTTTTATGCGTTTTGCCTTGCAATTATGCTGTTAGTAAAAATAATCACTTAAGCAGCGTAAAATGCCATATTGGTTGACATTTATTTCTATTTAACCTATTTATTTTATTTTATTTTCAATTTATTTTCCGTGTGTAGTTTCGTTACGTCGGATGCGCTGTCACCTGCTGACGAGGTTGCCTTGCTGAGACGACAGATGGCGAAGCTGTCACGGCGTGTCACGAATCTGGAGCAGGGGAACCAGGCACGCCAACAGCGGGATCTCATGGTCTACACGATGGCACTCGGCTTTCTAGTGCTGAAAGCTCTTGGCTGGCTGCGAAAAAACTGGTGATGACATCATAGGTGTATTCTCTTCGATCGGATGATGTTTCACTGCTCCCGGTGCCATGTTACTGAATTGTTGTTGGTGGTGATGCAGCAGAATGTTTTTGTAACCGCATTTTATGCATCGGTCTTTATTTATGTACTGATTTGTAATCAAGTGAATGTTTGTTGGGTGATTCGATTGGAAAGGAAAGGTATGGATATTTGTTAATGTCTAGTCAATTTCCATAGCGATTTCCAACATAAAGAATGAACGTCATCAAGATCCATGGTGAAGTACTGTGTAGGGAGTGATTCACATTACCTATACGAGATTCAAGTGCAAGAGAAGGTTCTCCCAAGATGGCAATGTTTGTAGAATGAAGAGAGACAAGTGTAGCTAGTAAATGTAACTGTGCTTACCACACGGGATAGTATCAGAGCAATGACACAGTATCTGGCTTTTTTTATACTCTGCCGTTAGGTCAGTGGACAACGTTTCAGCAGTAGCAGATGTGTTATTTTCACAATAGGTTCAGAATGCTTCAGAACTCATTTGAATATTGTTATGATATACCCTGTCCTTTCGCATTAAATTACAGATATCTTTAATCATGGTCACACCTATATAATTGTGTTGTATAGATATGTTCATGCTCCAATGTATAGGTATTATACATCTATTCGAGAGTGAATAGAAACAATTTGTTTTTATTTACTCCTGATCTAATAGATAGGCATTAATGAATCTATGCATGTGGCGAGCAAATAATTATAAACTAGGGTTTCTCATTTCTGACTGTGTTAAAGTGCGTAGTTCACGTTCATAGTAATTTTGACCTACCATAGTTGTCATCATTCCTAAACACTTGAATGCATTTGCATAGAATATATAATTATTTAACGTGCTAGGTATTTTTTTCTTACTTGTTTTCATGCACAATTATGCATCAGGTCACTATAATAAATGCAATGGAAATCATTTTGCTCTTTTGGAAGTGCCTAAGAATACTTAATTTTTATGTGTAATAATTATGTTATAGGCTCTTAAGGGGAAATCTATTAAACGGAACTACTTATGTACCCGTGGGTACCCCAAGTGTCTGTACCTTGTACATGCATCCCTAAAAACACCATAGACATGTATGAATGTAAAATTGCAATTCGCTGTCACAGTGGTATTTATTGTTTAATGATTGTATTCTGTGCATACACACAATAAATAAACAACATTTCGCTAAAGTGTTCTTTTCCTAGTATCTGTTAATGTTTTTGTGCGGTATTTTGTGAATGAGTGTATGCAATGAAATGGAAAAACAGGCCAATATTGTTTATTTGTGACCCTACCATACTTCTAAAACGGCGTAGTTCTTCTAGACCATAAGTCTACCGTTTAATTTTTATTTGGAAGCCGTTATGTACAGACTTTGAAATAACGAAGTTGTTTCAGGCTTATGTAACATTTTGTTACGGTTAATACAACGTTTTCTAATAGGGTATACTATACATACTTACCTTAATGTACCGTCCGTGAATGCGATTTCAACATGGTGCCGTGTATTAGAGCAAACGTAAGCAGCAATAGGAAATATGGATCATCATACAGAAATGGGTTTAATTAATGTGTATTTAAAAAATTCACTTTACATTAACGGTTTACAAAGATTATTGTAAAAATTAAATTCGTTTAATAAAAAGTGAAAATAAAGCTTGTTAAATATATAGCAATGTATCGCAAGAAATCTATTGCTATACATTCTAGTCATTTCAAATATCTTTAGACAGACAGAGTGATTTTTGAATATCAGAGACAGACAGAAAGACCGAGGGACGGGCGCACGGACGGACGCACGGGCTGCCGGAAGGACGGACAGACGGGCGGAAGGACGGGCCGACAGACGTACACGTACACGCGCACGCACGCGCGTACTTTCACGTTCACGAGCACACGTGCACACACGCATATATATATAGATAGAGAGATAGAGAGAGAGGAGAGGCTGAGAGATGCAAGCGCTGTGAGGTGTGCGCTTCGCGAAAATATCTTATCAAAGTTGTTCGGGACGTAGCACTTGTCTTAGAACGCGTGGAAATGAAATTCATTAACCAAGAGTTCAATTATACTCAGAACTCTATAAATGTTTTGGGAAGAGTTTAGATATGTGTCAGCGATGACATATTATGCTATAAACATACTCGTGGTGTTGCTGCTAGTGGCTGCATCATTATGCATTGATGTTACCCAAAATCAGAAACCAATTCTACACGTAAACGATCTCTACCACTGCTAACAGTTTCATGCTTAAAAAAAAAATTGTCGTCAATATTGGGTGAATATTGGGTTAATATATATGACAATGTGGTTTATTCTTGTTTGTGTATGTTAATTGCTGTGCGATTCTTATATAGTGTAGAGGCATAGTGTTTACGCGCATTAGTACCGTACACGCTTTACAATTTTTATATAATATGTATATATTATGTGTGTGTGTGCGTGTGTGTGTGTGTGTGTGTGTGTGTGTGCGTGTGTGTACGCGTGCGTGCGTGCGTGTGTGTGCGTGCGTGCGTGCGTGTGTGCGTGCGCGTGTGTGTGTGTGCGTGCGTATTTATATACAGCGGTTCTTGTTGGAGCGTATAATACTCGTGGCTGAGTTGGAGACATGGACATCGATTTCGCACGCGCATCTGGTCGAGTCCACCACCCCTTTTACAGGTATGTAATGGACTGGTCCGTTCTGCTCAGGTGCGCAGCGAGTATTCACATTGTAATGAGCAAGCTGTAGTTGCAGCAGCCACCGTGCTAGGGCGTGGGTTTTGAATCAGGTATACACCGGCCATCTTTGTTGTTTGCGGCAGTGACACAACACTTCTACACTAAACGTTTTCGCGAATTTACCGATATTTTGCCAATTTCTCACTAAATCACTTCAATTCTGCGCTCCGTCGCTGTGAGAGCGCTGCGTCAGATGAGACAGTCATAATAGAGAGTGTCGAGCGTGTGTGATATTTGACTCTAAACGAAGGCGACCGCCATGGGTGAAGGAAGGTACGCGAGGAGGGGCGAGAGACAGCCGACGTACATAGTGATCGGCAGCATCCTGTGTTTCGTCGCCTGCGCGCTGCTCATCATAGCATTCTGCAGTCCGAACTGGCTGCAGCGGAATCGCCGCGTCTTCAGCACAATGCGCAAGATCGGACTCTGGGAGGTGTGCTTCGACGGATTCTGGGACAGGGAGCTGTCGATGAACAATTACGAGGAGTTCGAGAGAGACGGCTACCTCGTGCGCATCTACGCCGACTGTCGCTGGGTGTTCAACTGGGATCTGGAGAGAATACGCGTGAGATTGGTTCCGAGTAAGTCACTCGATTGCACCCTGCACATAATTATTATGATATACGTCTTGGCTTTTATCGGAAAGATATAATTTCCGGATATTGGTTGACCCAGAAGGGATGCGCCTAGCTGTACGATCTTTTGGAGATTTTGTTCCGGAGCTTTTAGGCTGATTCTAAGTAATGTTTAACCTGCTCTACCCAATCCCCATAACATCAAGAGCTAATAATACCTATTAGCTCTTGATAACATCTATGTTCATTTAGCCCCAAGATGGTGAGCATCACCTGCCTTTCCTCCAGCTGTGCAGGGGTGACCCCACTTCTTGGAGCTTGTCCCACATGATCTTCCTTAGGTGTTTGTATGCCGGGCAAACTAACAGGAAATGCTTCAGGTCTTCTGGTTCTCCCTTATTGCACACAGTGCAATTTTCTTCCCCTAACCATCTCCTGGTTCTTTTATTTACGGGGAGGCATCCCGGCCGCTCTACATTGGTACAGCAGCTGACTGCCGATTTTATTATTATTGTAAACGGTTTCTCGGTGTGCTCGGAGCACGTGGTCGGTCCGTCGAGCATTCGCCGAATCTCCTTATCATCCGCTGGGCCTTGCATGCCTACCGCGTGAGAAAAGCAGCATTGAAATCAAAAGTGTAATAATTGTAAACGCCTTCGTTTCATATATCTTTTCTAAATAGCTATAACACGTATGAGATCCAGAATACACGAGCTTAATTATTTTGCATCTTAAAAAAAATTCAGGCTACTCAAATTATACTTTATTATTTTCTCTTGCAGATTGGTTCATGGCAGTGCAGGGCTTTGCAACACTGGGACTGGTTACATCGATGTTAGCGACAATCATCAATATCTCCATGCTGTGCTTCTGCTGCATGACCACAAGAATTTCTTGTCTTTATGCTCAGTCATTCCTGCTCTTCGCATCATGTAAGTGTAACTGACGGCCATATTTATGAAAAAAGAAAACTAACAAGGGATATATATATATATATATATATATATATATATATATATATAGTAGTAGTGTGTAGTTGTGTGT